TGCACATGGTAGGTGGTGTTTAATAATGTATCCTGTAATGGGCAAGTCTGGTGTCATAGATTACTACTGCATATACAGGTATATAGGATTTATTTATGTACTTACTGTAGATGAATAAAGCTTTAAGATTAATAAATGCATGGATGAATAATGCCTCAAGTAAAGTGAAAAAGGTACAAGTAAAGTGAAAAAAGGTAACGATAAATAACTAAAACCTAAAAATAAGATAAAATATGTGGACTTAAATCAATGACCATATGACCATATGAATAAGGCTTTAATAAAATGTAGAAAGAATGAAGATGATGAATATGATGATGCATTAATCTTTAACACAAAGAAAAAAGTAAAATCATAATGAAAAAATCTCAGATTAAAGAGATATAAGTCAAGTATAGAGAGATTGATTTGGATGTTCTTTCCAACTTATTTTTTTTTTTATTCAGTCTTCCCACTACTGTATCTTCCATGAACACATTAGTGACTGAGGTGTCCTTGGATATTCTTTTTAAATTTTAAAAATTAATTTCTTGCAGTGCATTTCAAAGTAAATTTCATATATACAGTAATTGTATTATTTCAGTTGCAAATATGAAAGGTTCTAAAAATGTTTAAAGCACCAAAGTTGTATCTTTGGAATTTGAATGTACAGTATCAGAGGAGTACATATATGCAAAATTTTACCATGGTGGAATGGGCGGGCTAATGGCAAGGGAGAGGCTTTCACATCATAGCATCAAAATTTCTGGAAGAGCAGAGAGGTAAAAGTGAATTCTACTGACTATATGACCTATATTTTCTGGCCTCTAATATGAGTCAAAATAGGGAAAATATATGAAAGGAATTTCTGCAGTTAATTTTTATTTTATTCTATCCTAAAGGGAAGAACACCACTGGTCCTGACAGTTATGTGCTGGATGCAAAGTATTTTATGGAGGCTTGCTGTTAGTTACCCAACAGTTGGATTACTGGACACTGGCAAAAGATCAGATGAAGATTTTTTAAGCATTAGATGTGTCCAGTGTCTCTCTAAGGTGTCACATTCTTATGGGAGACACCTTACTGATAGCTGTCTTAATACATTATTTTCATATCTAAGAACAGTTCTGTGCACATATTACCAATTTTTTATATATGTTTTGGGAGTAATAATATGCTACATACATTATCTGAGGGGGTGTGCATCTGCATTTTACTAAACAGAATACATAAAAGTACAGTACAGATGTTCTGTGATATGTGCACTAGATGCCTTATGTTGGGTAGTTGTGGTTATTCGGTGTAATTACAAGAAATGGAGTTCTCTCTGATGATTTTGAAAAATGCACTAATGACTAATGCACAACCAAGGTGTTGTTGAACATCATGATTAACACACTAACATTCATTTGTGAAAACAGTGAATTAGCAGGTGGGTGGGTGGGCAGGTGAGGGCGTGAACAACAAAGAGCATTGTACTCTAGTGCGGGAGATTTGCAGGTCACTGTTTGTAGTCACCAGTGGGTCAGATTTATGAGGATCCAAGAGGGGAGGAGAGGGGAGAAAATTGGAACTCAGTAGTCGCTGAAATCCGATTCCTCCATATCCCCAGAGCTTGCCTCCACCTCGTAGTAGTCCATTTCCAAGGCAGCCATGTCTTCCCGAGCCTCAGAAAACTCTCCTGGGTTATTGCAAGGAGGGGAGAGTGGGACAGGGGTATTGTGAGGTGGATCAGGGGATTGTGAGTAGGAAAGGAGAGTGGAAACAAAATTCATGAATATGAGATTCAATGGAAAAAGGTGAATGTAAACAGTGGTGGCTTGTAATTAATTCGTAGGCATTGAAAACCACAACTGGAAATTCAGGATATATTGAAACTGAAGTGTGATTACTGACTGCTTACTGCAGGTCCAAGGATCTATGCCTAAAAACAAATAAATTATAAATAATTTTCCAAGAGACTGAATTTTCCGACACATTCTAAAAAAAAAAAAATAGCATAATGCCATTAAATTTAAATGTACTTGGATAGACGCTTCTACAATACAATATAGGGTAAACACTTAGTGAAGACCATCAAGTCCTTGATTAGTGAGACACACCAGCACTGGTTGAGGTACTGAAAACACTCTTAGTCATATTTTGCACAAGTCCTTAACATCTCAACATCATACTCATTGTCCAATTACCAGTTCCTACACATCCAATTAAATAAATTAATATCTTTATCCACTTACCATTTCTCTACTGAATGGGGAGCCAAAGAACCGGCTGTCACTTAAGATATTCATTACAACAATTTCAGCTATTTCAATTTTGTTCCTGACTATAACAAACTCATTTCACTTTCTTCCACACACAAACCATTTCTACTTTCTTTTATACAAATGGCAAAACCCTTCCTTGGTTATCTTTTATATACAGTATTGCCTCCATTCTTGACACACACATGATACAGAATTACCTTTCCTCTTTTTTCCTTTCCATACTCACCCCTTATGTAACTAATAAGCCACTGAGTATAAGATCTCTCAAAAACTCTACTATCTGTACAGTCTTGAAAAGTATGTGGGGGTGACAACCTCAAAAACACAAATATAAAAAGACAAACCTAGTCTGAGACCTTGATATGATAGTGACACACTGACCACTCCACAAACAACAAAGCCTACCTAATGCTACCTGACTATGGGGTCAATCTCACATGGAATGTGGGAATAAAAAGTGCCTAACAAACAAATACAAAATCCTCCCTTCTACCTACAAAGATGTGTCCACAATGAATGTAACTCAAATATTGTGAACTACTTGGCATTTTATCAAGCGGAGTGTACTTATAATCACATCACAGGCATAAGAATTAAGCTGTCAGTAAGCCTTGGATAACTTTTCTTCAAGTTTTGTATATACAGTACCTAGAACATACATCTTCACTTTAATGGATAAAAGAAGGAATAAATGCTATAACAAATAAGATTATTTAACAAATTATTGTACAACTTTGGGAAGGATAAGAAGATTTTTGAACAAGAAGTGTGTGAAGTGTTTAGTGACATCATGACTGTTTTGTAAGACCTTGAAAATCTTTGTATCTTTTATTCTAATCCTGAAATAAACATCACAAATTTTACTTTTATTAAACCATGAAAACTTTCACCTTTTAACTGTTCACTCAATTAATGAGTCATTCTCTCAGTTGCCAAAAGCTTTCCATTTTGTTCCATCTATAGTGTGTCAAAATACCCAGTTCACTGCTTGCATTTGTGATACAGTATGCTGTACTGTATACCTGGGAGTATGCCACTGTAAAAATCCAATAGCAAAGATGGATCTAATTAAATCACTTGGAGGAAAGAATGAAAAGTACCTTGTACTGGTGAAGTAAATATTGTACAAGATTAATATTATACCTATGTTTAACACACACACACACACACAAAGGTACAATCAAATACACACATACTAAAACTAAACACACATACATTGTGTCCCTTTTCCCTGTGTGATTCTATCAAGATTTATCTTATCCACGTTTTCATTGTGGATATATATATATATATATATATATATATATATATATATATATATATATATATATATATATATATATATATATATATATATATATATATATATATATATATATATATATATATATACATATATCACGTAGGTGGTCAGAGTAACGTTTTACCAAATCCGGCTTCGAAACACGAGGATCCATATGTATTTCATTAGCTGGATTTGGTAAAACGTTACTCTGACCACCTACGTGATACGGGTAGTCCCCATTAGAGGTTCACGGCGCCATAAGCTCGTTGAACAGACTTTGTGTGAAATATAAGAGAGTCTAGGACTGCTTTTAGTATCCTGGTGGTCCAGCGGTTAGCGTTCCCCGGTCACAGTCAAGGCTCGTGGGCCGTGGGTTCGAATCCTGGCGGGTTGAGGTGTTGATTGTATGTAGAAGTCCGCGTGTTTATTGGGCTAATGAAATATATATGGATCCTCGTGTTTCGAAGCTGGATTTGGTAAAACGTTACTCTGACCACCTACGTGATACGGGTAGTCCCCATTAGAGGTTCACGGCGCCATGCTCGTTGAACAGACTTTGTGTGAAGCTCTGCTTGGTCTTTGTGTGAAATATAATTAGAGGTTCATAAGCTCGTTGAACAGGCTCTAGGACTGCTTTTAGTATCCTGGTGGCCAGAGGTTAGTGTTCCCCGTCACGCTGGGCCGTGGGTGGGTTCGAATCCTGGCGGGTTGAGGTGTTGATTGTATGTAGAAGTCCGCGTGTTTATTGGGCTAATGAAATATATATATATATATATATATATATATATATATATATATATATATATATATATATATATATATATATATATATATATATATATATATATATATATATATATATATATATATATATATATATATATATATATATATATATATATATATATATATATATATATATATATATATATATATATATATATATATATATATATATATATATATATATATATATATATATATATATATATACACCTAGACCCCGACTTACGACTACGTGGACTTACGACCGTCGGGACTTACGACCGCCTCAGATATAGATAAAAAAATAATATTTTTTAAATGACACACGCATTTTCTATACCGAAACGTTTCCAGTTAATGTAGTCTCCATGTATAATTAGAAAATTATGGGGGCCCCATGTGCATTCAGCTGACTACATTAAAGGTTAAGTGCTCAGTCACACTGTATCCATTCCTTATTATTTATTACTTTCACTGTACTGTATCCATTCATCATTATTCATTACTTTTACTGTACTGTATTTCATTGTAGATTTTTTATTATGTCGGACTTACGACCATGTCGGACTTACGACCTGGATTTGGGTCCCTAACCCCGTCGTAAGTCGGGGTCTAGGTGTATATATATATATATATATATATATATATATATATATATATATATATATATATATATATATATACGCAGGTTCACCATGACTTACCTTCTTCCATGCCTTCACCGACGTACCAATGGACAAATGCTCTTTTAGAGTACATCAGATCAAACTTTCTATCAAGGCGTTTCCAAGCTTCCTTAACAGCGGTAGTATTGGAGAGAACACACACAGCACGCTCCAACTTAGCCAGGTCACCTCCAGGAACAACTGTAGGTGGCTGATAGTTGATACCCACCTGCAGGAGACAAAACACAAGGACTGTGGAATGATTTTGACACAATGATTATAACTCAAGGATGAAGAAGCCACAAGTCCAGAAAACTGTGAAGGCAAACTTTTTCGGATTGAGAATTGTGAACTCTTGGTACAATATTCCAGAGAGCGTTGTACAGGCACTGAGTGTGAGCTTATTCAAGGCCAGACTTGACCAACACTGAAGCGGGTTCCAATATATTCAGGAGCCAGTGCACACCCATTATTTGCCAACAGTGTGTATCAGAGACGTGACCGACCGCACCAAGCGGTTAACGAGCCGATCAGTGGCAAAGAGGATAAAAGTAAAAATAAAGATTAGAAATACTTTGCATGTGTTCAATTACAATCACAGTTGACAAAGAAAAGTAAATGACTGCAACTACAATTACTTTGTTAGGTACATAACTGATTTAAATTACACAAATTTTTTTTGTTTAGATTACATTATTGACTTCCTCTCTTCCTTGACTTCCAGGGTATAAATTCTTCTATTACTGCCTCAAGGAACTCTTATAAACTCTTACAATGATTCATCTGTGTCTGATTCCTCCTTAATGACATATCTCGCAAGTTTATACAAGTAATTCAAACTATAGAAGGGTAAGAAATAGCTCAATAATGTGTAGACATACCTTAGTGGATATTAATCAATCAAATGTATCATATTTTATGGCATATAAGATGCACTTTTTTGTCTGAAAAAAGAAAGAAAAAAATGGCTGCGTCCTATATGTGAAGTTGTAGTTTTCCGTAGGTTAATGAATGCCCCAGTTGCTATCTCTAGTAGGCTAAATTCTACCTAGCTGAAATCCTGTAGTATTAAAAAATACTGTATGTTATTGCTTCCTTAAATTCATTAAATTCATTATTATATAAAAGCTGGATTTATAACTACAGGTACTGATGATTGTCGTCCGAGTTGTTAATTAGCAGACATGTAATAAAAAGGATAAATAAGGAAGATGACTTTCAACTTACCTTAAAGCCTGTGGGGCACCAGTCAACAAAGGATATAGTTCTCTTTGTGCGCAGTTCAGCGATGGCTCCATTGACATCTTTAGGGACAACATCACCTCGGAACAAAAGGCAACATGCCATATATTTACCTTCCAAGGGGTTGCACTTTACCTGTGAAAGGAGACAATATACAGTATATATAGAGTACAGTATACAGTATCAGTAGGTAGTAGGCAGCTACCAAACAGGGAGGTACAACCACCTGGGAAGTTACTTCATCATATCACAAAATATATTTGTAAATATTGGTTGAAAATACACACGCAGATAGACATTTGGGAATATTTTAGTGTTTGAAATACAGTAACTTCTCAGGGAAGGTGTACACTGTAGAACAAAGATTATCATAAGGAGTGAAGGGAAAAAAATCCGAGTCCCGGTTATCCTTACAGAAAACTCCCAAGTACAGTATAGGAAGGTGTGATGTGTAGAACAAAAGATATTGTGGGAATCTAAAATATTACTGGACAGTGCCAGTGCCCGAACACCTCCTGGTAAAAAAAAAAAAAAGTACCTGTAGTGTGAAGAATGGAGTAAAGATACTGAGGAAATAAAGTGAAGACTGGTTGACAGATGATAATTAACCCTTAAGAGGCAGCTAAAGATTCTCTACTCTACCCCTATCTGTGTACAAATGGAATGCAAGAAATAAGAAATGTCCTCCGTCCCTACAGCTAGCTTCCACTGATAATGGCCACCATCCCTACAGCTAACTTCCACTGATGATGGCCACTGTCCCTACAGCAAACTTCCACTGATGATGGCCGATGTTTAAGGTGGGAACTAGGATATACTGAATATGAAAAGAACCATGAAAGGACCACATCTGATATAATTATACAAGGTATATAAATGAGATTAAATATTTAGTAGCAAAAAAATATAGCAAAAGTACATATAAAGAACTGCAGTCTTAGGGGTTGCATATTTACAGTGGAATCTATCTACATTAGATAGAATTGTAGTTTAGTATATGGAGGCATTGCAAGGATCTATTAAAGTAGACTTCTGTAAATCTACTGTACTGTATATACAAAATATCAACTTATAAAATTATACTTACTGAAAGGATGCAAATTTTAAGGCATTTACAATATTTTCACATATTCTTACCATCTGCTGATCTCGTTCAAAACATTTCGCGGTGATGGTGCGGACATCAAAGTTGTCATGCAGAGCATTATCAGCTGACACAACCGGAGCATAAGTTGCCTGCGGGTAGAAAATCATTATGATCATCAACTTAATGACTTGTCAGATCCATACAAGTACTGTAAAGTATAAAACCCACTGACAAAACTTACCTTTGCCAGAAGGCTTTGATACTTTTTATAACAGAATACTTTATTAAAGTTAATGTTAGAAGCATCTCCTAAACTAAACAAATAAGGGTCTTTCCCACAATGTACTACTGTACTTATAAAACAACTAATTTGCTATTTGGTTGATACCTACCAAAGGAAAGTGGATCCTTGGGTATGGCACCAGATTTGTCTGGAACTCAGTCAAGTCAACGTTGAGTGCTCCATCAAATCTCAGAGATGCAGTAATGCTGCAACAAGAAGTTTTGTAGTGATGCTATTTAGCCTTGAGAAGATATTAGAAAGACAAGTAAAAACTATAATAAGTTTATCAACAGAAATGATTACTGTTATAATGTATATTGCTATATATTATACAGTACAGTGGTCCCTCGGTTAACGAACACAATTCGTTCCAGAAGGTCGTTCATTAACCGGAAATTTCGTAAACCGAATCCATTGTTTCTATGGGATATTGGGTAATTGGTTCCAGCTCACCGAAAAGTACAAAGTAAAAAAAAAAAAAAGGCAGTAAAGTACACTTACTTTGAGGTGTGTATGTAGAAGGTTCCTGGTTGATGATGATGATGGGAATTAGAAGTGGGGGTGGAGGAGAAGGGAGAAGTGAAGGAAGTGGGGATGGAGGAGAAATCACCTTTCAGGGGACCCATGCTTGATACAGTAATTTCACCAATAAAATTTGAAGTTCACTAGGTGTAATTCAAGAATATTTTCTTTAAATCAACACTGCACTGCGCTATATATTATCAATATGTCAACTAAAGTTCAGAATGACCAATAATTTAAATGAAAAATGCAAAAATATTCAAGACACCAACAAAATAGATGCTCTCTCTACTGTTTTCAAAACCCAACTGACGCCTTGTGACCGACTCACGCATCTGATGGGTGCACAACAAACTAGTTCCCTGTACTGCATACTTGTATATTATCAATATGTTAAATAAATGTTAAAATTACTAATAATTTTAATATAAAACATGCAAAAATATTAAATAGCACAACTTTCTTGATATTTACTCCATTGGAAACGAATGTAAACATAGAACAGACTACTGAATTGGCAGACCAGTCCATCAGTTGATCAGCTGATGCTCACAACAAAACGTAATTTTCGTAAGGATTTCGTTTATCGAATTTTTGTTCGTTAACCGAATTGAAGATTCTTATGGAAGGTAATTCGTTAACCGAAATTTAGTTAACCGAACCGTTTGTTAACTGAGGGACCACTGTACAGTAATGTACTTGAAACTTCATATTATATACAACTATCAAGTGACCTCAAGTCCTCTCAGTTCAACACACAAAGCTTCCTAAGTTTTTAATCCTATCATCTGAAAGTCCCCAAAATCTTGTGAGAAATAATTACATATCCAGTGGAATAATGGTTTACAATGCATCACTTAATTAAAAAAAAAAAAGAGAACAAAAATGACAAATATACAAAACTGAATCACTTTCTTCCCCCTTCTTCTCCTCATTCCTTAGTCATACTGGTCCTATTTACCTGGAAACAACCTGACCAATCATACGGTTGAGGTTGGTGTAGGTGGGTCGACTTATATGTAGTTCCTTCTTGCAGAGGTCGTAGATAGCCTCATTGTCAACCATGAATTCTACGTCACAGTGTTCCAATGTTGTGTGGGTGAAAAGAATTGAATTGTATGGTTCCACCACTGCTGTCGAAACCTGTTGGAATTAAACAATGATGCAGTATGTTTTTATATTGGCAGCAAATAAAAAGTTTGATGCCCTGCTAATACAGTGAGTGAGAGTGTGTGTGTGTAAGGTTTCATCATAATTGAAACTCAAACTCAGGTACACTGTACTTTCCTTTGGATGGAACAAATTTGTGCAGTACTTTACATTAATTTAACCCTTATTTACATATGACAATGACCAACCCTTATCGTCCATCAAAACACAAAGAAAATTACATATACAGTAACCAGAAAATGAGTTCTTAGAAGAAATGTGTTACTGTATTGTATGCATTAAAACAGTATGTACAGTATAAAGGAAATAATTTTTGAATCTTCACCATGAAAGAAGGAATGTGTACCTGAGGAGCTGGATAAATGGAGAAACAGAGTTTTGACTTCTTGCCATAGTCAAGAGAGAGGTGTTCCATCAGCAAAGAGCCAAAGCCAGAGCCAGTGCCGCCACCGAAGGAGTGGAAGACGAGGAAACCCTGAAGGCCTGAACACTGTTCATGCTGCTTCCTGATGGTATCCCGCACCACAGACAGCTGTTCCTTACCTGAAGGATGTTAGTGAAGGGGAGGTTTGTAGGGTTGGGGATATTTATCATTCTGGTGGGGGTCTTCCTTACTTGCGGGAAGGTGAGGAGTAGGCTATTAGAGGAAGGATGTGTTGGGGTGAGTGTGAGGAAGATGAATATTAACATAATTACCTTGAGCATGGGAAAGTTAAATGGGAAAATATAAGTTAGATGGAGAAGGGATGTTTGATCATGTCCCCTAATATGGGATCGAGCAGTTTAGAAGGAGGACGTTCATTAATGGGTTAGACAACAAGTAGAATCAGCACCAACCATACCACAGTATATATGAGTACATTAGATCATATGAACCTACATCATCAAGACACTCACCCACAGTGTAGTGTCCACGAGCATAGTTATTGGCAGCGTCCTCCTTGCCAGTGTGGAGGGAGTTGGGTGAGAAGAGTTCACGGTAGGTGCCCGTCCTGATCTCATCTGTGTGAAGGAGAAATAATAATACTGTAGATAAGGATATATGGGAGAGTGCTGTAGATGTACAATGATGAGGATACATAGGGGAAATTTGTAGATGTACAATGACAGTGAAACATAAGGTAGTGTTTTAGATGTAGTACAATGATAGGGATACAAGGTGAGGTTAAATCAGGTAAGGTTAGATACAGCTGGTTTTTATCACACAATAGTGCAGAAGATTAATTCTCAACTGTAAATATGAAAGTGAATTGTGATAGTTACAGACAAAAACTCAAAGGTTGGGGTTAAGTTAGCTTAGCATTAAATTAGGTTAGGTTAACATTAGGTTAAGTTAGTCTAGGATAGGTTAGGTTAGTATTTGGTTAAGCTGTTTGACTATGTTAGGTTAGGTTAAGTTAAGTTTTGTCTAGTGCTTATTCATCTTCATTCACAGGAAGCAGGAAGCATGCACAAGACAGCCACTCACTTAGTTGTCCAGTGACATTTCTCCCACATTAAACATTCATCTCAACGCTCCTGAAACTACCGAGTGTTGAGTCACCCCATACTGTACTAGTGACTCATCCATCTTCCTTCATTCACACGAAGATATTTACCTGGTGCTGTGTTGTTTTACTTCATATTTAGCTTTTTAAAGGATTTTTTGTTATTTACTCAAAAGTTTTATGAGGAATTTCAAGTGCTTGGTGTACTGTTTAGTTCCCCGCTTACGTTGCCGAAGTATCCCTCCTTACCCGCACCTAACCGGATCAGGTTTTGAACATGAACTTTTCGTTATGATGATGAAAAAAACTCGGGAGAGATCATCCTGCTGATCAAAGGTTGCCATAATACTAAAGGACTGTAAGGTCAACATGATGGCCAGAGGTCAGGAGGGGTCAACCTGGGTGAAGCAGAATGGTAAGGGAGGGGTACACATAGTACCACTTATTGATCATTAGCCTCTACCACCACCACCACCTGCACCCAAGGACACCCACTACAAGAACACTAGGATGGATATGATAGCTGTACAGGAACAACCCTTCACCTAGATACTGGCCACCTGAGGGCTGAGACAGTTCATGTATTATACTTCTTTAACATACCAAATTACCAATATCTCCATAATAGGAGCTACCTAATCAATCACCATTGTAATGTATCCTTCTCTACAGCTGAAACTTGTACAGTTCTTGAAGGACAACTCCAGGGAAGCAAAAGTTTTCTAATTGATGCCCAAGGTTTCGAAGGCTGATACAAGTATTGAAGCAGCAAATGGTGAACAAGTACATCCTCGTGTGAGTGCTTAAGAATGCACTCATAATCGAGCAATTTTCTGTCTACAGATAGTGAAGGATCACACATTTAGCAACTGTATTAAATTTGCCGTAAAAGGAGAGGGGTGAAAAGATAGTTAAATCGTGAAAGGTTCAGCAAGAATTACCGTATAATTTTGCCATACAACAGAAGAGATTTTAGTAGCCCTAGACACAAAAGCAAGTTAATACTGCTGGATTTTATCGAAAAAAATGATAATGGAGCTCGATGCACCAGCAGCACCAACGACATAATTTGGTCATAAAGCGACGTGACAACCAGACTAATACTTTTACTTACTTTTATCCTCTTTACCACTGATCGGCTCGTTAGCCGCTTGGGGAATCGGTCACGTCTCTGTTATGCACTGCTGGCAAGTACTGGGCATGCAATGGCTCCTGAATGTATCTGAACCTTCTCCAGTGCTGGTCAAGTCTGGTCTTGAAAGAGCTCACACTCGGTGCCGTCACAACACACTCTGGTAGATTGTTCCAAGAGTTTACAACCCTCACTCCGAAAAAGTTTGCCCTCACGGTTTTCTGGACTTGCGGCTTCTTCAATCTCGAGCTGTGACCCCTTGTGGGGCGAGCGTCCGCCAGCTCCAAGTAAGGACACTCAACTGAGTAGTGCCCCCTGAGATGCTTATACACCTCAACTAGGTCCCCCCTTGCCCGTCTGTAGTATAAGCTAGGCAAGTTCAGGCGCTCCAATCTCTCAGGGTAGCTGAGGTGCCGAAGTGCAGGCACCAGTTTGGTGGCCCTCCTTTGAACATTTTCAACCAACTGACAGTCCCTAGCATATCTCGGGGACCAGATGGGGTGACAGTACTCCAGATGGGGAAGCACTTCACTCCTGAAGATCGTCACGAGGGACGGACCGTCTAGATATCTGAACGACCTTCTTATAAGACCCAATAATTTATTTGCCTGATTTACCTTCTTCTCACAATGGCCCGAGAACTTCAGCTCATTGTCAACATACACACCTAGGTCCTTCTCACACACAGTCTCAACTAGTGCATTTTCTTCATCCCGTTGGGACATATGATACGCCTCCTTACCGTTGGTACGCCCCAGGTGCATCCTCTTCTGTCAATGTGTTGTAACTGTGTGGCTGTACCAGTGTGTGTGTGTGAGTTTTGAGTTTATGCGTGTATAATGTATATAATTAAAAATCTGTGTATGCATCTGCACATGAACGTGTGTTTGTGTGTGTGTGTGCAAGTAACGTCTCATGCGTGGTGTACATTACCTGACTATCTTCGTGTGTGTAAGTGGATATTCCGTCGTAATCCGTCTCCCAACCCTCCCCCTCACCCCCTACTTTCCCCCTTACCCCAGCTGTCACAGTCTCTATTTACTTGTCTATAACGTATCTACGCTTGACTATGTAATTATAACACACACAACTATTACATGTGAGGAATAATGTACAATACGTGTCTTTATATCCTCTGGGGTAAAGTGGTCGTGTGTGTTTCATGAGTGGATGTTTTTTTTTCTTTTTAGTTATTTTTTCCTCCAGCGTTTTGAACACTGATTATATTAATGAAAGTAGCGCGCACGTACACCCTATAAACAGTATTACACACACACAAATTTAATTCATTAAGTAGTGAACCTGGTGACAAAGAAATAAATGAAGTATGGAACAATAATGCATTTTGTTTGTAAAATTTTCAAGCTCACACCTATCTTCCTTGTCAGAACATGTCTCAGATAAACCCTCCTTATATCGTGTGTTAATCAGTGCTGTTAAGTTCGCTGTCCGACTGAAAAATATCGACCTCAGAGAAATCTTAATGTTCACGATTTTCACGCCAACTTAAGGTCTCTTTTTCCGAGGTGTTGGAGGTCGAGAGAGGCTTGTCCTCCTCTCGACTCCTTCTAGTCAAGCGTCATTACGACCAATAATTACCCCGAAATTGAATTGTCGACCATAGATTCGGAATCAGCATGCTTAGAAGTACCTACACTGACAAAAGTAACAGAAATTACAAAATAAGCAAGATGAATGATAATCTTCTTAAAATGATTATACTGGGAGACTGTGGTGAGGAGACCAGGTTGGTGGTGTGGGACAATGTAGCTAGCGAGACACGCAAAGGCAGGGCAGGGCAGGTGAGCATGACGCGTAAGTCTGAATTCCCTTGGAGGGATTATCCCACATTAAAGCTTAATGTAGACTCAACATCTCAACAAATATATTAGTTAAAGGTTCGGACGATGGTTTGGAACAACCGAAGATTTCATTACCTAAACAAACCTAACCTAACCTAACCTAACCCCCGGGGGCTCCCCCAAGTAGCATTACGGTGAAATAAGCTGAGGTGCTTAATCTATACGATCCCCATTATTAAAAAAAACAAGTGTTTTCCATTTTACCAAGTTCATTGTGTTGGAGCCGCTGGCCATCAACAGTCACTAATTCAGGAGGAAGGTAGCAGTAAAGTGGGGACCTCCCTCACCTGATGTATAAAAGTCTTCAAGTGCAGGAGGGGTTCAGGTTCAGTGTAGGGGGTGTTCAGGTTCAGTGTAAGAGGGGTTCAGGTTCAGTGTAGGAGGAGTTCAGTGCTGTAAACTCGGCAGTAAGACTTAAGGAAGGGGAGTGTGTTGCGTCACGTTTAAATTCCTGTAATTATCAAGAGGGGGCAACTACAAGGACGGTCAGTGTGGTAGTGTGGTGGTGCTGTGGTGTGGTAGAGTGGTGGTGTGATGATATAGTAGTGTGGTGGTGGTGATGAAGCAATAATTTTGGTTATGATGTGGTAGTGGTGGTGATCGACTTATATCATCAATACCCTACCCCAGAATGCGTCACAGTTCATTCCCCAAACACCCAGAAGGACAAAGGTGACTCATAAAACCTAAATACCAACTGGGGTCTTTTTCCACACAGTAATAATGGATGAGGCTGCCCATTTAACACACCAAGGCTGTTTTTTTCTGATACTAAGCAAAAACTTACATATACAGTATGATATTTTTCTTTAAATTGAAAAAAAAAAGTATTCCGGGGAAATATTTATAACTTTTTCTTTCTTACTGGATTTTTACCGTCAATTGGGGTAAGTATTAAAAACATGTACGGAGTTCTACCTGTCATTTTTTTACTAGACAGACAGGAGGGACAGGCCGTCACCGTCATGACACACGCATACCTCTCTTACTCCCAAGAAGGTCACTCGTCTCGTTTTGGGGGACCCGGAAAACCATATGGCCTCTTTAAGTACGATAATTAGCATTGATCGTAAGGCTCCCCTTGTGACACACATCCAGTAACACACTGCTGATGTTGTTGGCCTTAGTGCAAGAAGTCACGTAATATAATCATTTATAATAATTATGACAACAACAGTAATGATTTCAGTGGCGGGAGTGTCGCTGGAATGACCTTATTACTGAAACTGATGGCTGTTTTGAAAGTGGTTAAGTTGATGCTCCGTCACCCAAAAAATGAGAGCTCGCGTGTCCATTTTTTTTAACTTCACGGCTTTGATGACTTTGCAACAAACTCTACGCTCTATTTCCCCACTTTTAACTTACTTGGTAAAACAAAAATTAAAGGTTAACTGTGCAGTTATACCTTTATCATTTATCTTAGCTTAACATATAATTACTGGAGTCGACACCAGAAAAACTCTCCTTAATTAGCTAACCCGCTGCTAGTTTCTAAAGGTCAAGTTATCCCGTGTTAGTTTT